AATCGGGCACGTTGAGCTGGGAGAGCTTGAGTGAAGGGTCCAGGGTTTTCTATGAAGCAAGAATAAATGTCCCTGCGTCCAATGGTGTAGGTTTGGTTCCAATCTTGGTGGGGACATTCACTACGACCTGAGTCTACACCCATTGACACGGGGTCCAGAGTTTCTCCCCCAGAATTTGTTGTGTAATCACACACTATATTTGCAATAGTGTGTTGCCTTCTATACTAAACTCAGCTGTAGACTGAATGAGAAGCAGTTATGTATGTTAACAGCAGTGTTGGGCACGTTACTTTGAAAAAGTAATTAGTTATAGTTACTAGTTACTTCTCCCAAAAAGTAACTGAGTTACTAACGGAGTTACTCCACTATAAAAGTAACTAGTTACCAGTAAAAGTAACTATTGCGTTACTTTTTCGTTTTGTTCTGGAACATAATGTGCACCCGACGTGCGCATTTTTACCTTTAACAGTGCCAATATTTCCATCTAGAAAAGGCTGTTTTTCTGCTGAAGTCCTGTTCACTCTTCATCTCTCACTGTGCTGTAAAGCACTAAACACCAACACCCGCCACTGTGAATGTGGAAACACCGGTGACGAGCGGTGAGGCTGGTGAAGCACTGACTTCAGTCCAATCAGATGAACATATACATCATATAAATCAAGTGGACAATTTGTTTGGCTACAGCAAAATATGTTTTATGCCCGCATTGTTTGTTCATACAAAACGCAAAACTATGAGTTATGGGTCTTACCTTATAAATGACCTGCACAGTCCACTTCGGTTCAGACCAGTTCCTTGTTTAAATCCAGTGAATGGTTTGAGCGTAGATATGTAATCCTCCATTTGGAAATGAGTCCAATGAGTTTTAAAAAGTAAAACAAAACGCGTGTGTCCTCTGTAAACTCCTCTGTTTTGCTGCAGCCGGGTGCATCCTATTTCTAAAATCAACCGTCTTACACTTCACCTCTCTTTCTTATCATTCCTATAGTAATTGAAAAATTACCCTATGTGCATTTTAGATTATGTAAAAATGTGTCATATGTATGTTAGCCAAACCTGTTGCTGTCCTTAGCAGATAAACCAGGAAGAGCAAGGAGCTTATCGATGGAATTGTATGTAGCCGACTTCTGCGCTCACATGCGCTCCTCTGTGGCTGACCTCACGGTGATACAAGCCGTGGTTGAGCGCGATTAAGACCCATATTTGTTTCAAAAACACAATTTATGAGCCATCCTCTCAACTGTAGACATGTGGATTGTAAAGGAAATATGATTTACATCAGCCAATAATTGCTGAGAGGTTTTCTCATCCTCCCTTCTCTCATGACAACACGTTCATTGTGCGTCTTGAGTAACGCGCAGTAACGGGATGTCGGAAATGATAACGGCGTTATAGTTACTGTCAAAGTAATTAGTTAGATTACTCGTTACTGAAAAAAGTAACGGCGTTAGTAACGCCGTTACTAGTAACGCCGTTATTCCCATCACTGGTTAACAGAAGATTAATCATCACAATTCATAATTTGCTATTACTTGTGCTTTCTCTTACTTACTTTCCAACTGTTAAAAAAGCTCCTGATATCTTTTATCTTATTTGTGGAGGTGGCATTTTTTCTAAATTATATAAGAAGGTATAGACCAGGGGTCGGCAACCCGCGGCTCCGGAGCCGCATGCGGCTCTTGAGTGCTCCTGGAGTGGCTCCTGGAGCCTTTTAAAAAATGTCTGAAAATGGAGTGTGAGGGCTATATTTTATTTCTAGTTTGAATGTGGTTTCTGTAGGAGGAAAAACAATCTTTACGTTTTTAAATGCTGTAAAAATATGTATAAGTAATATCTAATTTCAACATTTCTGTCAACGTAGTGCGTCATATCCTATGACGCGCGGTCACGCGGCCCCGCCCCATGCGGCCGCTGCTGTAAACAAACCGGCGTGTGTGCATCATAGACTGTAAGTGCACATGGATCCCAAAGCTAAAACGAGAAAGAGTCGATAACAAGACTGGACTAAGAATGAGAATGAACATTTTCTTTCAGTCAATGAGGAAGGACTGCTTCATGTTTGTAATGAAAAGTTTTGTTGCAACACGAGGAACAATGACGCGCAAAACGACGTAAACGGTGATTACATGAAGGATTCATTCATCAAAAATTCAGAGCACCTATTTTCAGACCTACCTTCTCAAAGACGGTGAAAGAAAAGGCCATTAAGGATTTTAATTCAGCTCCAGCAAACTTCAGCCTGTGACGTGATGGATATGAGCAGACAGTGATGCAGGTATGTGACCTCTGAGCCCAAAGCAGATTGATTTACTGTATTTCTATAATTGCATGAAGGCAAAAAAATGTTAAAAGTTAAACTAAAGCAGAGTTGTCACGTGTTGCGTCATTCACGACACGCGTGGTGCGACACGCTGCAGTGAAAATACACATTTGATAATCATGAATGATTATTATGTATTTGTAGCCTTTACTTTGTAATTTAGATATTAGGCTAATATAGCTAATACATCTTGCGTCCTGTGTTACCTTCATAAAAGCCTTATACAAGGCTGTTATTTTTTTGCGGCTCCAGACAGATGTTGTTTTTAGTTTTTTTGTCAATTATGGCTCTTTGAACATTTTGGGTTCCCGACCCCTGGTATAGACAATCAAAAACAGACATTCATATACATGAACTGCAGAATCATTTATATAACTTGGCCAATGTCAAAAGTTACATAGTATTTCTCAATACAATGAGTTAACAAGAGTTTGGCAATAAGTAACAGTGTGGATGTTTCTATATTTTCTTTTTTTTATTCCACTCTCAACCCAAAAAGGCAAGTAATGACTCACAGGGCTCTCAATTATGCAAAATAAAAACTTAAATGACCTGTTGTGGTGTGTTTTGCGCACAACCAGCATGCATCGTTAACGCAATGGAAAATTTAGGTATCCGAGCTTTAATTTCGGGAGCGCTGGTTGCGCTTTGTGAAGAGTCAGGGGGGAGACATGTCAGAGACACAGGGGAGACACAGGGGAGAAACGGGGGAGATACGAGGGAGACCCGCACTTGCAACATGGTTCTGTCTGCATATGGTCCGAGCTCGGTACCATGTTAGAGCTGTGCTTTCACTGAGCGCCGCGGCTGTCATTACAAAGCGGCAGCAGCTGCACCAGGACGTGCACATTCGAGTGCATCGCTTGAATGCGCTTAGAGCAAATACCAGCAAGTGCCCGCTGTCACACATTTCACAGAAATTACATTATCAGCAGATAAAGGTTGTAAATCGTGGATCCGTGGAATATTTTTATTCCTAGTTTATCCTGATTCACACAACACACCCACTTATACATTTTGGATAGTAAGAGCACAATAAGTATTTTCTCAGCCTTTCAACCAACCTGTTTCTTTATTGGAGCCAGTTCTGTTCTGTCTCTGTGCCGTGTGAGCTCCTCGGAACATTAAACAGTGCGCTGACAGATTAGAAATAACGTAAGTACTTTGAATGGTAATAGATCTACAGTACTTTCCTCTGATTACTCACGTGCTACAACGCTCAGGGAACGAAAAAAAACACTTGCTTCACGCTGGCTAACTTTTAAAAATTAAACAGTTGCTCAGTGCTTCAGTTTGGCGCTGAAGAAGACAGCCAATCACTGCAGAGAACGGAACGGGTCACGTGCTGCTGCTGCTGCTGCTGCTCTGGAGGCGAGGAGGAGGCGTGACGTATGCACAAACGGAAGACATGTGTCCCGGACCGTCCGGGTCACGGTACATCATGTCATTTTGGTGGGGACTTTTTAGTCCTCACCAAATATTGGTGGGGACATGTCCCCATGGTCCCCACGCAAACCTACGCCCTTGCCTGCGTCCCAGTCCCAGCAGATTGGTGCCAAAAGAGGTGAGTCTGACCAATGTTTTTCTCGTCATCCCAGGTCTCATCTGGGCTTTGAATTTGTTCAGTTCGGTCTCATATACTTAATTTTAGCTTGTCTTTATATCTGCTCTAATCTTCTTGTGTTAAAGTGCTTATATACAGTGCTCTTCGCCCACTGAGTCTTTTAAAAGTACTGGTCGCATGGCGCATTCGCATGGCGCCGTGGCAAGAGCTCTGGTGTGTGTGGTGCACACTGGGGTAGTCTTGCACAGTTTTTCCTATGTGGTTTTACTGCAAATGGCAAATAAATGAATCGGAATCGGAATCTGGTCGCATCCATGCTTCAGTATGGGCCGCTCTGTCTTTTTGCCACCCAGCCAGGGGCGCACGCGGGTGTAAACAAAGATCCTCCTATAGATCAATCTAAAAATGTTATGCATCAAGTAAAACATGCTTCACTTCTGACACCGCCCTCTAGTGTCCAGACTCACAATCAGGTTCAATATATTACTCACATAAACAGCATTTAATTACCCATTATTACGATATTTAATTGGTTAAAATGCAAAATAACAATATCTAAAATGACAGCATTTGAGTCTGTACTGATGCTAGCCCATGTTAGCTCCACATGCTACAGCATTTGAGTCTGTACTGATGCTAGCCCATGTTAGCTCAACATGCTGCAGGATTTGAGTCTGTACTGATGCTAGCCCATGTTGGCTCAAAAATGCTACGAGCGGTCAGAGTTTCAATCACCAGCAGGACATGGTTACACAATGACAGCCATTTATCATTAGATTTTCCTTTGATTTCCCCCCCGTCTCCCCTGACCTCCACGTCACTGTTAATATCACACTTTTAAAACAATAAAGTTGAAAATATCCAAGTTGTTTTCATACTAAAAGAATTAGGGCTGTGTGAGTTTAAAGTGTATGTTTAAACGTATATACCTGACATACACAGTAATCTTTGAGCCAATCACAGTGCACGGTGAGAACACACCAGGAGAGGTCCTGACACTGTTACTGCCACAGGAATGTGTGTGTGGATGATCCTCAAACTAGCTTGACTCTGAATTAGCCTGAACACATCTGGTTTCCCACAGAACACAAACATAGTGAGTGGTGTCAGTCTTACCATGTAAACATATCCCTCATGTTGTCACCGAGAGGCCATTTCCCACACAGCCTCTGTTCCCGGGGGCCGTCCATCTCCTGCCGCTGGGAGAGGATTACAGAGATATCAGAGAGCATGAGAACACATCAGGAATGTGGCCCTTTAATCTGGAACAAGTCTGAGTCCAAGTGTCCTTGGTCCCAGTGTAGCCCAGGAACGCATTACAAAAATAAGGTAATTAAAGTAATGTATTGCTTTGTGCTGTAAAGCGGTAATGTGAAGCATTAAAAAAACGTTCTCCCACTGATGTGCAGACAATCCTACATTTTAACATAACCCTTTAGATGAAGCTTGCATTAGAATATTTATTGTTGAGATGCATGAATAAATACCAGCAGAGTAATATAGACCTATATATTTATTGCATTAGGATTGGGGAGAGTTTCTAGTGAATTAGGATTCACTAGAAACTGAGCTGGCGACCCCCCTAGACCCTGGTGGCAAAGAAGCTGAGCCAAAGACATGATATATGATATAATTATATACAGTGCGAAAGTATTCGTCCCCCTTAAACCTTTCAACATTTCGCCACATTTCAGGCTTCAAACATAAAGATATAAAAATTAAATTTTTGGTCAAGAATCAACAACAAGTGGGACACAATCGTGAAGTGGAACGAAATTTATTGGATAATTTAAACTTTTTTAACAAATAAAAAACTGAAAAGTGGGGCGTGCCATATTATTCTGCCCCCTTGCGCTAATACTTTGTAGCGCCACCTTTTGCTGCAATTACAGCTGCAAGTCGCTTGGGGTATGTCTCTATCAGTTTTGCACATCGAGAGACTGGAATTCTTTCCCATTCTTCCTTGCAAAACAGCTCGAGCTCAGTGAGGTTGGATGGAGAGTGTTTGTGAACAGCAGTCTTCAGCTCTTTCCACAGATTCTCAATTGGATTCAGGTCTGGACTTTGACTTGGCCATTCTAACACCTGGATACGTCTATTTGTGAACCATTCCATTGTAGATTTGGTTTTATGTTTTGGATCATTGTCCTGTTGGAAGATAAATCTCCGTCCCAGTCTCAGGTCTTTTGCAGACTCCAATAGGTTTTCTAAGTTCTTTTTTATTTTATTTTATTTTTTTTAAGTTTTTTTTTTTTAATTGGTATTAATACTTAATATATGGCTACATTACGCATCTCCATTCTATTTATCATGAAATAAAGAGTATTTTTTCTTTTATTTATGCCATAAATTGGCATATTGTATATTTCTGACCAATATATCAATAATCGTCATATTGTGATAAAATCGTTATCGTAATATCGTTATCGTGATATTATCGTTATCGTGAGCTTTGTATCGTGTATCGTATCGTGAGGTACCCTGAGGTTCCCACCCCTAGTGGGGATGGTGTGTTCAGGGTGATGAGCTGTGTTGCTTTTACGCCAAACATATTGTTTTGCATTGTGGCCAAAAAGTTCGATTTTGGTTTCATCTGACCAGAGCACCTTCTTCCACATGTTTGGTGTGTCTCCCAGGTGTCTTGTGGCAAACTTTAAACGAGATTCTTATGGATATCTTTGAGAAATGGCTTTGACTGACTGTTGTCCTATGGACAGACTCTCCCACCTCAGCTGTAGTTATCTGCAGTTCATCCAGAGTGATCGTGGTCCTCTTGGCTGCATCTCTGATCAGTCTGCTCCTTGTTTGAGATGAAAGTTCTGAGGGACGGCCAGGTCTTGGTAGATTTGCAGTGGTCTGAAACTCCTTCCATTTCAATATAATTGCTTGCACAGTGCTCCTTGAGATGTTTAAAGCTTGGGAAATCTTTTTGTATCCAAATCCGGCTTTAAACTTCCCCACAACAGTATCTCGGACCTGCCTGATGTTTTTCTTTGTCTTCATGGTTCTCTCTGCGCTTTAAACAGAACCCTGAGACTATCAAAGAGCAGGTGCATTTATACGGAGACTTGATTACACACAGGTGCATTCTATTTATCATCATCAGTCATTTAGGACAACATTAGATCATTCAAAGATCCTCACTGAACTTCTGGAGTGAGTTTGCTGCACTGAAAGCAAAGGGGCCGAATAATATTGCACGCCCACTTTTCAGTTTTTTATTTGTTAAAAAAGTTTAAATGATCCAATACATTTTGTTCCACTTCACGATTGTGTCCCACTTGTTGTTGATTCATGACAAAAAATTAAAATTGTATATCTTTTTGTTTGAAGCCTGAAATGTGGCGAAATGTTGAAAGGTTCAAGGGGGGCAAATACTTTTGCAAGGCACTGTATATGTGTATATTATATATATATATATATATATATATATATATATATATATATATAAATATATATACCTATATACAAAGTATATATCTCATAATATCATAGTCATAATACAGTGGGGCCAAAAAGCATTTAGTCAACCACCAATTGTGCAAGTTCCCCCACTTAAATAATGACAGAGGTCTGTAATTTTCATCATAGGTACACTTCAACTGTGAGAGACAGAATGTGAAAAAGAAATCCAGGAATTCACATTACAGGATTTTTAAAGAATGTATTTTTAAATTATGGTGGAAAATAAGTATTTGGTCAATAACAAAAATTCAACTCAATACTTTGTAATATAACTAGGGCTGTCAAAATTATCACGTTAACGCACTTTAATTTATTTTTTTCATTAATCACGTTAAAAAAATGAACGCATGTGACGCATGCCCATGCGTCCCATAATAACACTCAGAAAACCGCGGACACATGCGCGTGTGTAAGATGGGGACAGAGCAGGTAGGCCCTCTGGGAATTCAAGTTTTGAAAGAATACACGCGTGACCGCGGGGCACTTGTAGTTTCCTGTATGAACTCTGCATGATGAGCTGCGGGCACAACAGCGCTCTGGACAGCAGTTCCCACTTCCAGCGACTGTGATGACGCCGAACGGCGCTGCGTAATGGGATCACATCCAAGACCACGCACAGAACCATTACAGAACTATTCTCTAGTGTGCGTACGTGTCTTTGCGTAACCGATGCACACAATATGTACAGCGCTGAAGCTGGACTGCGGAGCTTCAGTCTCCTCCGTGTCTTCTCCCGAAGCGCACTCGCTAAATTAAAGCTGAGGTACCTAATTTTCCTTTCAACTACCAGTTCATGTTAGTTGTGCCAAAAAAAGTAATGGTGTGAGCAAATCAAACAGATTTAATGACATTCTGCATTTCAGACTATTTTGAAATGTCCCTCATCTGTAACAAACAATGGTTTTGGTCTGAGTCTAAACAGAAAGACAGAATGTTCCATCCATCCATCCATCTTCTTCCCCTTAATCCATTTCTGGGTCGGGGGGGTGGCAGTCAGAGCTGCACCCAGTTCACAGAGCACCAGCCCCTCACTGATCCTCCTGCAGGTGGTGAGTCCACAGGAGCTGAGATCTTTCAGCGGGGGCTTGACGCAAAGTGGGGTTAAGTGTCTTGCTAATTTTTAAACTGTAATTAACTCAATTAAAAAAATTAATCATTTGACAGCCCTAAATTTAACCTTTGTTGGCAATAACAGAGGTCAAACGATTACTATAGGTCTTTACCTGGTTTGCACACACAGTAGCTGGTATTATTCCATCCATTTCCTTCCCTTTATCCATTTCTAGGTGGTTCTGGGATTTTTGATCACCGTTCTCATGATCATTTTGACCCCATGAGATGAGATCTTGCTTGGAGCCCCAGATCGAGGGAGATTATCAGTGGTCTTGTGTGTCTTCCATTTTCTGATAATTACTCCCACAGTTCATTTGTTCACACCAAGCTGCTTGCCTATTGTAGATTCACTCTTCCCAGTCTGGTGCAGGTCTACAATTCTTTTCCTGGTGTCCTTCGACAGCTCTTTGGTCTTGGCCATAGTAGAGTTTGGAGTCTGACTGTTTGAGGACAGGTGTCTCTTATACAGATAAATAGTTCATACAGGTGCCAGTAATACAGGTAACGAGTGGAGGACAGAAGAGCTTATTAAAGGTCCTATATCACGCTTTTGTTCATGTTTCACACTCAATCCTATACACATGTGTGATATTAATGTGTATGATACACCACACAACAATCAAGGCTTGTGAGATTAGAGCCATCTCTTGTATAGAGGTGACGTCACCTCGACTCAAACGAGCTGATCCAGAGAAAAGTCTGCTCCTCTGCCTGTGAGCCCGCCTCCCCCCCGCCCGCACGGTGACGCTTTTGTCGTTTATCACCTGTACTTAGTAATTTCATACATAAGAATAAACTTTTTCCAACAATGACAATCCGTCACATCGAGCCCTATGTCCTCGATGCACAATCAGACCCTAGTTATTTAGTTTACAGAAGTATACAGCGAGTTAGCGTCACTACTTACAGATCGAGGGGGTCCGAGTTACGTCTTTTACCGTGGGAATAACGTGTTTCCAGATCAGTTTTTGAGTAAGTCCAGTTCCATTGTCCCTGTAGTTCTGGAACAGTCTCAGTGAAGTGTCGCAGATGAACCGGTATTATAATAGATCCATGAGATGAACAGATGAAAAAGGTCGAGCCGCTTTCTTCCTCTTAGGGCCAAATAGTGTGTCACATATTTGTCAACACACTTCATTCAAGTTGACGTGATCCTAACACTTTTAGTTGCTGACAAAAGCATAAAAACAGCAGCTCTATGTGGTGTCCGCGAGACCAGACCACAGACGCTGGACTCGGGAGCCGGAGCCTGTGCGCTCTGATTCGCTGTTTTGATCCGTCAATATCCTCCCGCCGGCTTTTAATTTATTTTTATTTTTATTATTTTTGACAAAAAACAGCATACTAATTGTGTATTGTTTACCCCGTTTTGACAAAAGTATTTAACAACTATTTTAAATACAAAGCAAACGGGGTCATGCGCGTCATCAGTGTGGTTTTCGTCACTGAAGTGGACCCGAGCGTTTCTGTGCCTCACGCTGGGGAAGGAGACAGATTGCTCTCTTACAAAAGATTGACAGAATCAATGAATAAACTACTGTGGGCTTGTGTATGAAGGCCAAATAGCATTGTAATCATGTTTAAAGCAGAGAAAAGTCAAAAACCGTGATATGGGCCCTTTAAAGGAATAGTTCACCGTTTTTACATACTGACA